TACACAAAGGCTTGGACTGAGGGCAGACCATGTTGAGCAGGGCTATGGCACCTGCCAGCACACATGGGATCCAGGGCTGGGAGAGGGCCTGGTAAAGGAAGTTGGAGAATTCCTGTTAGCCCACCGCTCCCGACAGGAGCATGAGAGCTGGGTTTGGGGAACTTGGAAAAACTGCAGCTTTCACTGGCATATCTGTAGGCCGGGTCTTAGGGCAGGCTGGGCCAGGCTAGGTAGCAGCACCGGCTGGCATGCATGAAAACCAGGCTGAAGTGTAGCTGAGCTAGGCAGGGCTAGGCTACAACACCTACCAGCAAGAGCTGAGACTGTGCACAGGCCATGCCAGGCTGAACGGAAGCACCTGGCAGCACATGCAAGACCAGGGATTGAGAAGGGGCTTGGTAAGGGAATGGCGGGGACTCCCTTGCTGGGCTGCAGCTCCCACTGGTGAGTGGGGACAAGGTTGCAGCACCATTGGCATGCACATGGGCTGACTCTGAGGGCATCCCAAGCTGGGTTAGGTAGGACCCAGCAGCCGCTGGCATGCACAAGAACCAAATGCGTGCAGGATGGGCTGGGTTAGACTGCAGCACCCTCTGGGTGACATGAGAGCTGGGTCTGAGTCTAGGTCAAACTAAGCAAGGCTGTAGTAACTTCAAGAGCCAAAATGGTGTGGGCTAGGCTAATTACCTACCAGTGAGTGCCAGGACTGGAAGGCAGGCCATGTCTGGCTGAACCACAGAGCCCGCTGGCACATGCGAGACACAGGGGCGGGAACAGGCCTTGTGGGTTAACTTTGGGGACTGTTAAGCCACTGCTTCCAAGCGAGCAGTCAGACAGGGCTGTAGCACCTGTAAGCTAGCATGTGGGCTAGGTCTAGGTTTGAGCCAGGCTGGGTTAGGCTGCTGCACCTGTCAGCTGGCAGGTGGGACAGGTCTGGGGTGGCTGGGCTTAGTGAAGCCACAGTGCCCAAAGGTATGCATGAAAGCCAGAATGGCTGTGAGATGGGTTGGAATAAGCTGTAGCATGTCAGCATGCCCAAAAAATCCGGGGCTGTGCTGGGATAGCCTAGCACTTGCCGGTTGGCATGAGGGATGGGGTTGACAGTAGAACTGACCAGACAGCTGCATCCACTGGTATGTGCATTGGCTAGTGCAGGAAATGGATTGGCATACCCAAGAATCCAGTCATCCCAGCCCAGATTTCTTGGGGTACTTCCCAAATAGATCACTGGACTGAAATCCTGGCCACAGGGAAAATCACAAGGTTATGTGGTCCAACCTGGGAGTGTATTAGGACTGGGTCTCCTCAGTTGCCGTTGCCCTGTGCAGTGGACAGCATGCCCAAGTGCACATGGGGGACATGACAGCAGCTCATCTAGGGCAGCAGAGGATGCTGAGTGCCTCATCAGAGAATGAAAAGCAGAAAGGCTGGGCATTTCTCCTTGCTTTGTAGCAAGTGTCTGGGCCTGTACAAGCAGAGGTGGACTTGGTCAGTCAACAGACCTTGGCAGCATTTTCTCAACCCTGGTGCTACAAAGCCAATGGCGTCACTCAGGTAACATGCTTAGAACATTTTTATCCACATTGGGACCTCCAAGGTGTCATCAAAGGATTGTCCTCCATCCCTGGGGCTGATATAGTCTGAATGCAAAGAGCGCCCCCTCTTCCCTGTGGGTGGACACAGGAGAACTGACAATTTTGAGCAGGGTAAAGACTCATCACCTGCAATGCCTCCCCCTTTACTTCAGGAGAGATACAGAGGGAATAGGGGTCCTCCTCTGGGAAGGCTTCATCCCAGACCAACAGTCAGCAGCACATTGTGCATGCTCACACAGTTACTGTGGGGCAGGGAACAGAGACTGGCCAACATGAAAACAACGTGAAGTGCTTCAGGGTTCCTAGTGTCACAAGAAACAAAGCAGGGTAAGAACTCAATCTGCTCTGCAGGGATATATCCTAGAATTCCCCAAGGCACACCCACATCCCACACGACAGGTCAAGTTCCAGCTGCTGCACTTCCAGCTCGTGGCTAACGTGTGCCGGAAATCAGCACATGTCTCAAATGCCCGGGCCCTGCAACCACGCAGGAGACTCAACTCCAGTGATGGGCCCTCGCTCGCTCTCACTTGCTCTCTGTAACTCTTTCAAATGAATAAACCTTTTTAAAAAGTCCCCAAAATAAGGTCCATAAGAATATGAACACACACAAACATTACTGACATTATAAAACATTACTAACATTATAAAAACGAGGTATTTCACCAACAGACTGTAAATCCACATCCACAAAAAGGGAAAAGTATTAAAATGCTGAATTAGAGACCCTAGGTCAGTGCATTTAATTTGTTTAAAGAAAAAAGAAAATAATGCGCCTATCCAAAATTAAGAAAAGTTCGTGACTATTTGTTGAGAACATTCTGAAAATGAAAATGTAATAACCACACTTAATAGCACAATGAGTGGGTCAAATAGGTTAAAATAATCAGTTAAATGGACAACACATTTAAAACCATCCAGAATTTAACTCAGAGACAATGTAAATATGAAACAGATCAAGGAACATGAAGAGGGGCCGAGCAGCGGCAGTTGGTGTATCCATAGCCTGCAGTGCTGACAGCCTGTACAGAGCTGGTTCTAGAACATCCAGTCCAACTCCCTGGTGATATACTTAAGAAAGCAGCGCAGGATGGCCCAAACCTCTGTTTTAACTGTTGTAACATTACCCTTCCTTGGACCCTGTGCGATAGCCTAGTGGCTAAATTCTCACCTTGCATGTGCCAGGATCCCATGTGGGCGCTGGTAAGTGTCTTGGCTGCTCCACTTCCCACCCAGTTCTCTGCCTGCGGCCTGGGAAGGCAGTGCAGTATGGCTCAAAAAGCTCTGGGTCCCTGTGCTTGTGCAGGGCATCCAGAGGAGGCTCCTGGCTTCAGATCGACTCAGCTCCTGCCATCTCGGCACTCTGGGGGGCAATCAGCAGATGGAGGATCTTTCTTCATCTCCTTCTGTGTATCTGCCTTTCCAACAAAAATTTAAAAATCTTAAGAAAGTCTATAAAGTATACTTACTAAAATCAATTTTATCTCAGTAAAACACATAATAAAAGTGATTTTGAAATGCGTAAAGAGAAACAAATATTTATAAAACAAAGGAGGCCACTCTGCCAAGCAGTTCTTGACTCTTAGCTTCCTACTAAGCCGACCCCGAGAAGGGGTGATGAAATGGGAGTTGCTGGGTTCCTGCCACCCAGGGGAGAGCTGCACTGAGCTCCCTGTTGTTGCTGAGGCATTTTGGAAATGAACCTATGGTGACGGGGTATGGGAGAAGAGGGGTGGGGAAGGGAGAGGGGGCACGACGGGGGTGCTGCTTATCAATCAATTTAGAATTAAAAACAGCTATCAAAGGCAAGTTTAATCTACTGAGTCTTTGAAAAGCTATGTTGAATAGCTAACAAGATTACCAAGAAAGAACTGAATATCCTAATGGGTAACCTTCAATAAGCCTGTCATGTCATTTTGGTTTAGGGAGTCCTTTAGATGTTTGTGCAGCACATAAACTTACAAGGTGTCCATTATTCATATGATATGAAATCTCGGAGACCTTTGCTGCACAAGCTGGGTAAGCACAGTTAAGAACATTCCTATTCATGCACATAACCCTGCTTTCGAGATTACCGTGTCTGCTCAATGGTGTGCTGGCAATTCACGGCATTCCACAAGCGCAGTGACACAAAGGGAATTTTCATTTAATACTCCCCTCCCTTCTCACGTGTGGGATATTTTTGGAAGTTGTTGTTTTTTTCCCCCCAGCCACTGAAAGAGAATTAACATTCCAACATGCCTTGGTGTCAGCAAGTGCTCTCTGCGGTTCAGGCAGCAGGTGATTGATGAGACTGTCAAGCCTACGGCAGTGGACAGAGCGCGCTGGCAGAAGTTCAGGATTACCGAAAGAAATCTCAAATACTCAGTCCACCACCTCCAGCAAATTTAATCACATGTTCAGCATGCAGCCAAGAGTGAAGCCTGTCAACGTTCCGTCGCAACAGCGAGACAACACCACAGACTTGGATGTTTTCTTTCCTGTGCCTTTCTTTACTGAAGAGCAGTAAAAAAATATATGAAAGGCTATCCATATTTGCCACAAACCTCTTGAGGTTATTGCTTTTAACTTGTGCATGGTTTATGGCCAATAAAAAAAGTCAACTTACTTTTTCAACTAGATTGTTAAGATCAAATTTTCAAAGATCACAGTGAAGACAGACTCGGTACATCTGCTTCCGAGGACAGACACGAACACCAGAGAGGATTTACATTTCACGTGGAACATTTGCCATGTGAGCAGACACTTCTGCTTCACTCAGGTTCCAGAGGGGCTCCTTGGCAGACTGCGCTGAGTGCCCAATAGTTAAAGCACGTTCTGACATTGGTATAATAAAACAAGGCTCATCCACAGCAAACAAGGCACAGAAATGAGGAAGTCCCATCGGCAAAAAGAGGGTTCTTGAAAAGGCCAGACAGGAAAAAAAAAAAGCATGAAAGTATCAAGTTCTAGAAGTTGCAACCCTTAACAAAATATGTTCCATGATCCAGTGAAGCATTACTCTGCAACCTTTGCCAGCGGATAGGGCACAGACCAGCATGGCCAGCTGTGCTTCTGCCACTGTGGGCACAAAGCGTGAATCTTCACTTCTTTTCTTATCTGTGCCCCGAGGCCAGCTGATGTTTGTCTCATTTTCTCATGGAATAACACTTGATGTATTCTTCTATTAGGCAGGAAGCCCACACTGGTAGTGCTCTGAGACTTGTCTTTAAGCCATAATAATAAACTGCAACTAACTCTGTAAGAATGAACAAAGTACCTTTCTAAGAAGCTTATTCTTGAATTTTCTGAGTCAATGAAAAAGAAGAGAAATTCTGATTAACAAAGAATAAGATTTGCCTCCTGCTACACCTTTCTATTCAAATGATCGTGTGTAGGCTTTAAAACCAGAAATATGGAGCACTCTTCTGTTAAATATTTAATCAGGATTCTAGAAGCTTCCCTGTTTTACGAGTGATGTTCAACATATTGCTAGGCTTAAAGCAGAGGCTAAATGGTTTGGTGGGAATATGCAGGGTGGGAGTGGGGGTGTGGAGTCAGTGTTTTCCAATAGTTTGCCATTGTATGGCTCAAGTTGTCAGAAGGTTGAGAACTTGGCCAGATCCTTCTCCATTTCGGCATACTGTTCCTTCAGCCTCTGCATGGCTTTCCCGTGCTCTTCGTCCACTTGTGCCCGCTTGTGCAGCTGTTCTTTCATGAACTCCTCCCATTGAAGTGCGTGTTGCTTCTCGTTAGCTACTAAATGGTCATTACAAATCTGAGAAAAGAGAATTTGAGAGTCACACGATGCTTTCTAGACAATTATCTCCACATGCAGAGCACAATCCTAAGTACCTTTTCATATGTGGTTGCTCGAACAACCAGCTGCAAAGCCGCATGATAAGCTCAGCTTCACTGTCCAAACAGTAGAAGACTGGCGACATTTAAGGATTCTACTACTTAACTCACTCATGATTCTGGAATTTTCCATGACATTAAATGACAAACACAACCCAAGTAAATTTTCATAATTCTAATTCTCCTCAAATTCCGTTTACTGCATATATTTTATCATGTGAAAACAATTACTATTTTAACAGAGTAAAATGCTTATTTTCAAAATGTCTTCAAGAGAACCAGAAATTACTATTTTGAAAGGTTAATTTATTTATTTGAAAGGCAGGGCTACACAGAGAGGAGGAGACCCAGCTCCTTCCCACTCTGGTCCGCTCTCCAAATGGCCACAATGGCCAGATCTGCTCCAAGCCAAAGCAGGGGCCTAAGCAACAGGGCCAACCTTCCCTACTTTCCCTGGTATTTTGAGCAGAAAGCCCGTGACGCCACCAGCAATGGCTCACCTGCCAGGCCACATGCTAACCCTAGAACCACAAGTTAGTCACTGAGAGAAAATTCAAGAAGTCTCCTGTGTAACTAGAGCCCATAAAGTAAATCTAACCCTAAGACATCCCTGTGGAGCAGCCAACTTCTTGAGATGAATCTATTTCCACACCAGGATGTAAATTTTTTGAGCAAAACAACACAGATGAAATACTGTATACGTGAAAAAGGAATAAATTTAGTTTTGTCAGCCTAAAGTATAATTTCAATTAACTTTAAACATATTCAACAAGTCAAGTTTTGATACAAAGTTTTATTGAACAAGCCACAAAAACCCACAAGGCGTCAGTAATTCCAGCTCTAATGAGGAATGGATACCCAGTGTATTCAGAGATAAGGAACTCATATGGCAGCTGCTAGAAGAAGGTTACTGAGAAACTGTAAACAATGCCCTTGACACACTACTTTCCTTCTTACCTGGCATGACAAAAGCACGATGGACGGCTGGTTAAACCAGCATGCTCTATGTGCCCATGTAAAGTGTAGCTTTTCTACTTCTACAAAGATTATCTACTCCTTGGAAGACTCCAGCATTCTCATTTTACAAAGAAATGAAGGCTTAAAAAACACAACATGGGGAGTGAATCAGTGGATGGAGGATCTTCCTTTCTGTCTCTCCTTCTCTCTATGTATCTGACTTTCCAATAAAAATAAGTAAATCTTTAAAAAAAAAAAAGCATTTCTTTACTTCTTCGTGGTCACTCAATTAACAGCTGAGCTTCAGCTGCAAACCGGGTCTTTCTGACACCCAGTGCGCCTCTATGACAGAGTACACAGCAGATCTTTCTGGAAGTCTGACATAGGCAGCTCGGCATCTTTCACAAGACCTAGAGTAAGCTTTCAAGAACTTTCTGCCAAGCTGATCTGAAGTGTCTCAAACACCAAGACTTTCGAGTGAAAGAAGGTGAAGTGAGGAAGTTTGAGTGACAGTTCAATTCTCCCGAAAACAAGGAGATCCCTGGGATGACAGGACAGAGTTCAGCAGAAGCCATTCACTTTTAGCTTTTCAGTCTTATGAATTCTAAGAAATAAGTGAAGCATGCAGAGTTCATTAAACTCAATGGAACGTACAGAAAAGCCATTAACAATCTAAGACAAAAAGTAGATTAGAAAGAGAAGAAAAATACAAATAACATTAAAATACAATCTTCATTTTTAATAAACACAGAGCACACCAAGCACACATGTTTAGACACTGCTTAATTTATCCAAAGGCTGGTAACTGGACCAGGAAGCAGGACTTCCTCTCTCACCTCCGTGGAGGAAAATGGAGATGTGGGAGGCACGGCACCAGCTGGCTGCAGGTTCTGGCTCACTCCTCACCAGCAAACAATGCTGAACGCTTAAAGTTGTGTGATAGCCTAGCGGCTGTGTCCTCCCCTTGCATGTGCTGGGATCCTGTATAGGAGTTGGTTTGTCTCCCGGCAGCCCTGCTTCCCATCCAGCTCACTGCTGTGACCTGGGAAAGCAGTCAAGGACGGCCCAACATCTTGGGACCCTGCACCTGTGTGGGAGACCTAGAGGAGGCTCCTGGCTCCCGGCTTTGGATTGGCTCAGCTCTGGTTGCTGCGGCCACTTGAGAAGTGAATCAGTAGATGGGAGATCTTCCTTTCTATCTCTCCTTCTCTCTTTGTATCTGACTCTCCAAGGAAACTAAATAAACCTTAAAAAGAAAGTAGTATTTTATATTTGTAAATACTATTTCTGAAGACAGATTATTGCATTCCCAGTCCCTATGATGAGGGAGCAGGCCAGGATTCCTGTGCAAATCACCAGCAAAGCATGCAGACGGCAGACCGCTCCACTGCGCATTCCTGCCGCTCAGGCTTCATTCTCTAATACTCTTAGTAGAGTCTTACAATAATTCAATGATACAGACAATTCACTGCATCTGTTCCCTTTCCACTCCCATACTCCATACAACTCCTCCCTGACACAGCCACCATTGACCATTGGCCATGAGAAAAGACTTTAAGGTATTACAAAGACCAGCATCCCTATGTTGCAGTTTCTGAAATTTGTGACTCAAAACAGACACTCAGCCTTTTGACATCTGGCACATCATCTCATGGCCTTGTAGTCCCATGAAAAACACCTGAAAAGCCAACAATTCCGCAATTCAAACGAAAATCTAGTCTTGTCCAGAGAAGGATGGAAAGGACACAGATGTGGTTTATACAAACAATGGAATCCTTCAACCTCAGTAGGAAGGGAATATCTGACACAGGCGGCAACAGGGATGAATCTTAGTGGCATTATACTACAGAAATAAGCCAGTTATGGAAAGACAAATACTGTATGCTTCCACTTCTGTGCCCTCCCTAGAGTAAACAGAATGGTGACTGCCAGGATTTGGGGGCAGGGATGGGGTAGAACAGAGAAGAAATTACTGTTTAACGGGTCACTGCTTAATGGTTTGTAAGAAGAGTTCTGGAGCTGAAGTGACTGTGCAACAATGTCAGTGTATTTAAGGTCATTCAAATGTGTATTAAAGATGGTTAAGAAAGTCAATTTTATGTTATACCTTTATGCATATGACCAAACACGTAAATCAAGCTTCACATTTTGTCTTAAATTAATGGTACACCCACATAAATGTGTCTGTTTGTTTTCTTTCAGAGATAAACCTTAAAAATGTTAACTTTAAAAGAAAATGGAGAAAGATTATTAATTATCCACACATTTGTCTCAAAACTGACTAGTTATAATAGTACTGCTTCTAGTAAAACATGCATGAAATTAATAAAGAAAGAAATGAATAAAAGAAAGAAAGAAAGAGAAAGAAAGACAGATGGAGGGAAGGAAGGAAGGAAGGAAAGAAAGAAAGAAAGAAAGAAAGAAAGAAAGAAAAAGAAAGAAAGAAAGAAAGAAAGAAAGAAAGAAAGAAAGAAAGAAAGAAAGAAAGAAAGAAAGAAAGAAAGAAAGAAAGAAAGAAAGAAAGAAATCAGCTGGCTTCTGTATATCCTATTGGAGATAAGTGTAATTGGACATCACCCTTGACATTTGCTGAGACCCAAGGCTGTAAGAAGTCCAGAACATAAGACATGAGCACAGCACTGCACGCGTGGATCACGAGACATGAGCACAGCACTGCACACACATGTGGATCATGAGACATGAGCACAGCACTGCACGTGTGGATCATGAGAAAAGGGGAGGACAGCAGAAGAGGAGGACGGGGAGGGGGCGGAGAGGGGAAGAGTGGGGAGGGGGAGGAGAGGAGAAGGAAGGAGAGGGGAGAAGGGGAGGAGGGTAGGGTAGCAGGGGGGAGGGGAAGGGAAGGGGAGGGGTAGGTGAGGGGAAAGGGCAGGAAGGGAGGGAGGGGAGGGGCAGGAAGGGTAAGGGAAGGAAGGCGGGCTGGTCTGGAAGTTTACTGAACCGGCAGGAAGGTAAAGAATTGCTACTGTTCTCTGAGAGGTATCTGAGAAACACACCTTGCCATGACTTGAAGCTAGTTAATATTGTTAAATTACTTAGAGAAGAGCTAGCCAGCTGGCAGAGAAGACTGAACTTTTACTTTTGGACAGCGACAGACAATTGCTAGAGCATTTCCAGACTTCATCAGGTACAGAGAACAGGGACTTACTTTGTCAGTGGGTTGGTGGAAGCTCAAGACTGGCCTGGGGACATTCAGCAAGATGACAGAGGGAACCCAAATCAGAAAGACAAACTGTGGGCTTTTTACCCAACCTGTGCATTTCTTACTGTCCAGATAGCTGGCTAATAACCTCAGTGTAAAAATACCTTAACGTGACAAGAAGAATATAACTCTTTTAAAATTATAAAATCATAGAATTATAATTTAATTTTAGGTTCATTCTGCTTAAGAATGACAAGAATTGATGTTTATCAAGACTGTAACTGCTTTTATGATGTCTTATTTGATGAGTCACTTGCATCACAGATGGCTGAGTGGCAGCAAGCAACCAGGGACATCAGTTCATCTCACTCGGAAAGTCTACGTCAGTCTCTCTCTCAGGTAGTAACTCTGAGTATTACCAAACTGGTTTTGATGAAATCTCCAAAGTTACCAGCTGAGAATACACTGAAAGGCTGCTTCATTGAGAGCTGGTGGGGTGCAGAAAACCACACTCTTTACTTCCGAGACGGTGCCCGGTCATCTCTAGAAATATCACTCAGACTCTCAACAGACCCGCTCCACCACCCCCTTCTCACCTCTCCTGGCTCTGCTCACAATATATTCCTTTCCCCATTGTAGCTTTTCTGAATTAACAATATGAACATTTAAAAACTGAACTGTATTCATCTAAAAGGGAGAGACACTGTGAGAGAAATCTTTCACTCTCTTAACTGCACAAAGCAGCTGGGCCGGGCCAGGCTGAAGGCAGCTAAGTCGATTGGGGTCACCCACAGCCTCTCAATGTCTTTTTTCTCATCTTCCAGCGCTTAATTCAATACAGATCAAAATTGGGCTTGGATATCACCATTTTCCTGATAAATTACTATAGCCACCAAGACTAAAAAGCTCTTTGCAGCTTGATTACAGCTAGTCGTTTTGGAATCTTCAGACTGTGAGTTCCTGCAGTGCAGAAATGACCTTAAACTTGACTAAATGTTTCATTCCCAGAAACTCCTAGTAAGAGAGACTTGAGTAAATGATTGCTGTCAGCCTGGTACAGCACCTCCACCCTTAAGGCTGGCACTGCCTGTGTACCAGGCAAGCGCAGCTCCCCAGTACACTGTCCCGAGGGTGGCTCTGCTCGCTGTCTGGTCCAGGAGCTCAGCTTCCACCCTTAGCCAGCCTCCGCACCTTTCATTAGATTGTTCAGTTCTCAAACTCTGTATGAGCATCTAGTCGATGTGCAAACTTAAATTCTGGAAAGGTTCGCACAGTTGTATTTGTGTACCCTGAAGAATCAGAACTATTATTCTGGATGAACACGTTCCACAAAATGTGCAGGGAAACAGGCACATTTGGTCACATGCACATATGGAAAAGGGCATTCTTTTCAGAGTGACTTGGTGTTTTTAACATTTCTTAAAAAGCATAACGTGTATTTTTACTAGTTTAATCAGTAAGTTACAACAACACTATGAAAACTGCAAGTGAAAACACCACGTTTTCACAGTTTAAATTCTCCTGCTATTTTTGCACATCGGAATTTAGTTAAGATATAATTCAAATAAGCACAGCACTGCCCGCCAATAGATTCTCACACTCCTGTGACTATTCATTAAATAACCTGTCCACAGGCATGAATGCTTCCCTTTCTAGAAAAAATATACATAATACACTCAATGCTTGAAGCTCAGAGCAAAGATTTACATTTCCAATCTGGTGAATATTTCTTGTTCCATGTAAATTTCTATTTTTCTTTCCTCCATGAGACAAACACTGCTTTCAGGGCAAAAGAGATGGAAACACTGAAATGCAGGAAAAAAGTGTGTAATTGGAATTATGAAAATATTGATGGGATGACCAAGTCACCACAGCTCCTCAATACATCTTCAATGAATTAGTCACATCTAAATCTTTTAGAATCATTACATAAAAGAAAATAAATTCAAGGAATTTTCTGCTGAAAAGCAGTTCCTACTAACGTAAAGCATGCTCCATGCCCGGGGGGGCAGCCCTTCAGTGCAGCGTGCAGGAGTGCCCTAGCAAGGCCCACACTCCCGACACCTGTGGTCCTGCCTGGATCCAGCAGACGACAGTCTCTCTCAGCATCAAAAGCAGCACACGCTCCATTACCAGTGAGCTCCTTTTACCTTTGTTCGCTCCTGTTCCTTCTGTTGGAGTTTACAGACTGAGTCATTAGCCGCTTGCACTGAAATAAAGCAAACAGGGGTTTTCAATCAGAAGCCCTTGTTCAAGGAAGAACTTAGCCAGGGGTGGGTTTGGGAGGGTACTTTGGTTGTTTCAAACTGCAACAAACTGATGGTATTTTGGATGTGATGAAGTGTCTAGAAAGAAAAAGTTTCTACCAACATGGTCAGGATGTCATAAATAGAACTACCATCAAGTCGGACTTTGAATTGCAAACTAAGGGTATTTAATTAATTTTTTTTAAATGATCTTACTTAGTTGATTAGGGTACAAAGGGTCAAGGGCTACAGAAAAGTGGGTAATACCATTGTTTCCACACTAATTATCATTTTTTTCCCTGTATCTGGGGTCAGGGGAAAAAACAAAGGGAAAGCCCCACCCAGCCTCCCACCCATTCCAGGTCCCCCATGTGAGGCACGCTCCGAGGGACCTGCTCAAGCAGTTTTTATTATTATTATTATTATTTATTTTTATTGGAAAGGCAGATATACAAAGAGGAGAGACAGAGAGGAAGATGTTCTGTCCAATGATTCACTCCCCAAGTGAGCACAACGGCCGATACTATGCCAATCCAAAGCCAGGAGCCTCTTCCAGGTCTCCCACGCGAGTGCAGGGTCCCAAAGCTTTGGGCCGTCCTCGACTGCTTTCCCAGGCCACAGGCGGGGAGCTGGATGGGAAGTGGGGCTGCCGGGATAGAATCGGCACCCATATGGGATCCCAGGAGTGCAAGGCAAGGACCTTAACCACTTGCGCCATCGCACCGGGCCCTCAAGCAGTTTTGATAGTTCAACAGGTCTGAATTACTGCCAATCTCACCTTTCCAAAGATGAAACCTATTTAGAATCCACTGGCTGCCATAGTCTCTCATGGTTGGGGTTCTGAGACCAGCAGTTCAGTTGGAGGGATCTCCAAAGAACCTTCTGAGATGATCCCAAACCTGATTCCTGTGTGAGTTTGCCAGTATAGGGTCTGGAACAGTCCGTCGCCCCAATCAGCTTATGCACATGCTGGTCATTGCAATTGCTGGGTCACTTCTGTTTCCAGCCCTGTCACCCACTTGAATCAATGCGTGTTATAGTCCAGCTTGATCCTACCCACTTCATACTCGGTCCTCACGTAAACCAGTGGGAACTGCAGCCTAGTTGGGGTGACTCCCCATATCCCCCATCAGGCCTGCTTCCTACCCTAGTTCCCATGCTTGCCAGTATGTGCTGCAGGCTTGTTCAGTCTATCCCACATCTCTTTCAGCTCTCATACATGGGCATTGAAGCCTAGTTCAACCTAACCAGTTCCACTATCCAGCCCACACACATACTGGCAGGTGCCTTTCTGTCTAGCCACGCCTGCCCCAGTCCTGGTTTCCGTGCTCTCCAGTGGGAGTGGTTACCCATAAGGGAGATGCCCACTACCTCCCTACTAGGCAACTCCAATTTCTGGATTATGTACCCTCCAGGTGGTTCTGGCATTAAACTTAACAGATTTGGCCCCCAGTGCCAACCTCTGCCATCTGATGATGTGGCAAAGCCCAACCAACCCTCACCCACTTTAATTTTTGCTTGCACCAGTCAGAACAGTCAGCCCAATCTGGCCCTTCCCCAATCTAGCTCACATGAGGCCCATAGGTGTTGTAGCCCTGCCTGGTCTGGTCTGCCCCATCCCAACTCCTGCTCTCCAGTGGATGTCCAGGAGGGGAGCCCACATTCCCCTGCTGGCTTTGCCTCCTCCCCACCGGTTCTCACGTGTGCTGTTTGGGTACTGCAACCACATCTGGTGCGACTCACCTCACCTTGGCATTCCTTAATGTGCACTGGTATGTGTTGCGACCGAAACTGGCCTAACCCACACTCTGCTGGTGCTCGGATTCGCCAGCAGTTTATGTGAACGGGTTTAGCCTGTTCTGCCCCCCCCCCCCATACCATATGTATGCTGGTGGGTATTTTTCTCTGGCCTGGTCTGGGTTGCTCCTTATCGTGGTTCTTGTGCTCACCTGCAGGGACTGTGTTTCAACAGAGGAGTTTCCCAAGCTCCTCCTTCAGAACCTCTCCCTGTGCCAGGTCTTGCGCATACTGGTGGTTCCATGGGCCAGCCCTCATTGCTGGCCTTCAATCCATTCCAGCTCTTGATATTGGCTGTTTTACCCCAGCCAAGGCTTGTCCATACCCAGACACTGCTCACACATGGCTCAATAGGGGCAGAGACCCAGCCTAGTCCGTCCTACATCTACCCAAGTTCTCCAGAGCGCCAGACGGTGAAGGCGTCTAGCCCAGCTTGGTGTGTCCAGCCGCAGTCCAAAATTGTGCCTAGAGAGATTGCAGCCATATCCAGACCAGAACGCAGCCCCCACTCTAGCCCCCGCACCCTCCCATGGGAATCCCAACCCAGCAAGGGTATTCTCTCACAGCTCCCCAACCGAGTCTATTCCCAGCCCTAGATTGCGCGCCTGCCGGTGGGTGTTCTGACCCAGTTGGCTTAGCTCCTCACCTGTCTCAGTCTTTGCCTTCAATGCTGTGCCATAGTATCCCTGCCTCATGAAGACCAGTTGGGGTAAGAGCCTAGATCGGAATGACATGTGCTCCATCCTGATTTCTATTCTTTTTTATGAGGTGAAGTTTGTTTGGCCCTGCCTGTTCCGCCCCCTTCCAGTTGCAGCTCAGCCCACCTCACATTCTATTTCAGGATGCACCTTCGGGTGGTGCTGCCTTGACTTGCCCAGATTGCTACCGATTCCTTTACATGTAAGTGATGGCAAGTGCCATGGTCACTCCTAGCTTAACCCATTGCCACCCCAGCTCGCAAGCTAACTTACAGGACTTGTATTTCCACGGGGTTGGGCCCACATTTCCCCCATAGTTTACCCCCGGACCAGGTTCTCTCGTGTACTGGTTAGTGTCTTGACCCTGCCAAATGTGACAAGTCCACTATTCCAGCACCCAGTCAAGTAATGGTACCTAGCCCTGCCAGACAGGCCCCCATCCAAAGCTTTGGTGTAAACTGGTGTGTGGCAGTCAGTGATGCTCTATGCTAACAGCCCATCTCAGAATTCCTAATTTTTGGCAGGTGAATCAGTCTGGCCCAAATAGATCCCATGGACACTCCCCTCCAAACCATCAGGTCTCAGGCCCCATGCTTGCCAGAAAGTTTCATGACCCTGCTACTGGGAATCATCCAGAATTCATCTCTCACCTACACTAAAGCTGGCCTTATTCATGGGTGTCCAAACTAAAAGGCATTTAAATGCTAACTCAGTAACAATAAGAGCATTTCAGAATTAAGGTAATACAGTAACTATTATGCTTAAAAATGAATAGCAAGTATTAATAATAAAACAACTTAGGATAGTTCTTCACACATGGCAATAAGCAGTTATCGAGCCATTGGTTTACCAATTTTTCTTTTCCTCTAATTAGAACATTTATTGTGTCAAAGGCCAGATTCAAGGTTTCCTCCCTTCATAAAGACCTCCCAGATTAGTCCGTTTCCATTTCCTCTCATCTGAAAGTCTTCCATCAGGCGTGTGACCCTGTCTTCTCTAACTGGTGGTTTATCTAACATCTTCACTGTTAGGCCTCACTGCCTCACTCAGTCTGGCCCCTGCTAAATCACCAGTTCTAAGACAGAGGGACTAACTCTTCTGTAGAAAAATTTTAACTTTCTCTGTAGGAATAAGAGTGTTTAAAAAGGGAGGATTTTGTTTTCAAAACATCTTATCAATAATCATTAACATTTTAGCTTTTTTCAAATATTTATATAACTAAAAGCTAAGTTCCCATCCCCTTTTCCTGTAAGATGAAAATAAAACAGCTGATGACAATTGCTTCCCCTCTGTGGCATGTCAGTATTGCATTACTTTTCCCACACAGTGGTTCTGTCACTTGCCACCCCCCACATCTTCCACCAACATGCACACACACCACTCCTGGACACAACTTAAACACACCCATTGTTTCGTCTTTAGGGCTTCACAACTTCCTGACCATTCTGAGCTTGGTTTGACTAAAGAGTCACAAAGTTGTGGCACCTCTTTTGTCATTTGTCACTTTGAAGATTTAATTAGAACACTATTTTAAAAAGGCACACTTGGTTGGCGCAAGCCCCTGGCTTCTGCTAGCACAAGTAAGCTCGTGGGGCTCTGAGGGTACAGGCTTGCAGGGGCTGCTGGCTCCAGCAGGGGGAACTCAGGGACCTGGGGGCTCCCACCCAAGTAGGCAGAGTAAGCCTGGGGATTTCCACATGTGCTTGATCCTGGGTGGGGTCGGGGAGAAGGGAAGAGCCATAAGTCAGCATGCTGGCATGGTGTGCTATAAGACCAGGCTTGGGAACAGTGAGTGTGCTTGGGTCTTGGGTAGGTAGAGGAGTATACACCCACCCACATGGGAAACCTGAGCTGGGCTAGTTAGCATCAATCACTGCCAACCACCATTTACCAGTGCACATTAAAGCTAGGGATGGGGGCCTACCTGGCAGGGTTATATCACAGAACTCACTAGTGATTATCAGAACAGAGGATGGGTATCATGATACTGACGAGCACAAGAGACACAAGGTATAGGGGCAGATTGTGTGGGGGAAATGTGGGCTCATCCCTGTGAAACTACAATACCCACTAGTTTGCTCAAGAGCTGGGTGGGGGATGATAGGCTGAGCTAGGAATGACCATGGAACACCACAACACTCATGAGTACTGGGGTTGGGAACAGGCTGGACTGGTCCAGGTTGTAACTCCTTCATGCACACCCAAGAAAGCCAGTTCTTACCACCCACATGAGAGGCCCAGATGGAGTTCCCAGCTCCTGGCTTTGACTTGGCCTAGCCTCAGCCATTGCAGGCAATGGGAAGTGAGCCAGTGGGTAAAGAGTGTCCTTTTTCTGTCTCTGTCAGTAATTCTGCATTTCCAATAATAAAACTAAATCTTCTAAAAGAAAGAAACAGTAAGAAGGCCAGCACAGCTGAATAAAGAAAGGGGGGGGGGGATGGGGGTAAGAAATAAGCATTAGAGTGGAG